GTACTGGGATCAAACTCTGGCCCTTGCACTTTAATAGTCAGGTGGCAGGTAGCAGAACCACTGAGCTAAATCCCCGGCCCTAAAATATATTTTTATTATGGGTCAAAATCAGAAATCTCAGAAGCTCTTGCTCTCCAGAAATACTTTATCCCTGGCCCATCAGGAGAGAAAACAACTTCTTTCCAGGAATGAAGAGTGACAGTACAGTGACTCACTCTTGGCCCAGAATGGTCAGTGAGAGCTGTCAAAAGCTGTTGAGGTCAGGCTTTTAGGATCCAAGAAGCTAGGTTAGGAGATATAATGGCATGTTACTGAAATGCTCAAAAGATGAGGACTGAGAACCGTGTCCAATGTTGAACCTCAGAGATTTCACACATGAACCTGTTCATATCAGCAGATATCATTTAATTGGGCACATTTCTTCTCAGTCATTTTCCTCCATTGTTTATGATGGTGAAGAATAAGACGACTGATCAGATACCAGACAACTCAGAGCTTTAGCCGTAACATCACCCCTTGGGGAAAGCAAAGGATCGATCCCACGTCCTTTAAATTTGTGGCTGTGTTCTCACCTGACGTGCAGCATAGCTTCCAGGGGATCCTGGATACCGTTCTACCAGCAAAGGTCGTAAGTCATTTTGCCACATTTCAGAAATATGGGTGCCTTCTGCAATTTGCCGAAGGGAAGATGAATTCAGAATGGCTGGTTGGTGATGATTCTGAGAATTAAAGAAAATTATTGAACGATCTATAGTTTCACATATTTAAGACTTATCTTGAAACATTTGTATTAATAACTTTAAACTTCAAAGTAAAAGGGTAACTTTTTTGTCCTCTGAGGTATATCAAACTGCTCAACTGTAAAATTGGCCCCTCCCATTAAGAAAGTTAAACAAATAATTTAGCAGCTCTTTTTTTTTTTTTTTTTTTGGTATGGGGGATTGAACTCTGGTCCTTGTACTTGCAAGGCAGGCCACCAAACCACTGAGCTAAATCCCCAGCCCATCAGCTTATTTTAAAAACAAAATTAACAGAATGCTTTCAGCCTGGAATTATCATTTTACATACCTGTGTTACTTTTAGCGATTTTTCTGAACAATTATTTTGTATAACTAAGGTTTAATAATATTAATTATGAGTATCTAGTTTTAAGAAAACCCAGTATTTTAAAAACTGCAACCAAGAAAACACTATACTTTGCTAGCATAACTGCTATTAAAAGGCATTGTGGTATTGCAGAATCAGCATTGTCAGGGTGTCTGAGAAGCTGGCTTCAAAGCTCTGACTACCAGTTACGAGGTGGGTTGCCCTGGCTAGGGCTCTTACCATCTCATTCCCTCAGAACAACTAAGTAAGGAATTTGATCTAGATCTACACTATTCAATGATGTGGCCCACTAGGTACACATGACTATCGAGGGTTTCAAATGTAGTTAGTCAAGCTAAAGTACGTGTCAAGCAAGTGTAATACACACACTGAATTCTGAAGACAGTATTTAAAAAAACCTCATTCATAATTTTGATAATGATTTCATGTTGAAACAACTCTGATATAATAACTTATATAACTATATTAACATTAATTTCACCTTTTTAGTTTTTAAATGTAGCTACTAAAACATTTAAAAGGACATATGTATACCACCTTTTGTATTTGTATCAGACAGCACTGATTCAGATGATTGTTAGCATTCCTTTCCACTTGAGCTTGATGATTCTTTCATCCGCTGAATAGTAAAGTTTTTTTTTAAATCTTCAGGTAAATATTATTTTAGTATTCTATTAATATTCACACTCACAAGTAAATTTATATATTAAAGTGAAACTTAAAAAACTAAACAAACTAAACATTAAAATTAGTTTCTTCAGCTGGGTGTGGTGAGCCATGCAATCCCAGCACTAAAGCTCAGGCCAGAGGATCTCAAGTTCAAGGCCAGTCCAGGCTACATAGCAAGTTCAAGGCCAGCCACGGACTACATGGTAAGACCTTGTTTCAAAATAAAAATTGTATATCGAATATGACTTTTTACAAAGCGCTGTACTTTCTTATGATGTGGGTAAGGATGAATCATTCATTCATTCATTCATTCATTACACGTGGCACTTGGTGACAGAATGTGTTATTTCTCAAAGGGAAGTGAATAGTTGATCTGATGACTTCTCCCTACAGGGAACGAGGAGGGTGACATAAGGAGTTTGAGTTCTTTCACATACAGAACAGAAAATAAGGGTGCCTTACAGATCTTACAATCCCTTCTGAGATCAGAGTTGGTTGGATGCGTTTAATCGTGAAGATTAATTTCATTCCATACAAATGACTCCTTGTGGCTGGAGAGAAACTGTGACATTAGAGAATGTTTATTGCCTAATTACTTATATTTTCCTGCACTTTGAGATGGCCCAATGCTGCCCTTCAGAATCGATCACTCTAGGAGTACTGGCTGTTGGATCAGACATACCTTCTCTGCTAAACTTCTACTCAGCACCTACCACTCGCTATCTGTAACTCTGGCCAGGTTACTTAACCTTTTTAAGGCTCCGTTTCCTCATCCATAAAACGGAGGTGATAACACCTACATCTAGGGTAATCAGAATTAAGTGAGCTAATACATGTGAACGGTCAAGTAAATAATGTTTCAGTTCTATTATTCTCTCAATCAAATGCTAGTAGGTTCTAAGGAGGTATAGACTGGTAGAGCTGGAAAAGCTACTTAAAATGAGCTCAACTTCCTAGATAGATAGATAGACAGATAGATAGACAGATAGATCAGTGGAAACTGAGGCTCACAGAAACTAGCTGGTTTCCCAAAGCTGTAGAGAGTTATGTAAATCCATAAAAAGACGCCAGTCTATGGGTCTCCAAGCCCATTCTCTACCTCATTCATTCACTTCCCATTTACCATTGAATACTGATGCTGTGCCTGAATATTTTTTTTTATTCATTAAGTGTATGGGTACATTTTAGGTATGCAATATGATGACACTCGTCGTTGGGAATTTGAACCTTTACATAATATATCTTTGGTTCTTATTTTTTTCCCATTCACTTGCCTTCCCTTCAACCCCTCTACTCCTCCATAAGCTTGACTTCTGTTTTTTCCTTCTTTTTTCATTTTTTCTTTCAATTCTTTCTTTTCCCCTCTCTCCCTCCCTAGTTGCCCTTCCCCTTTGAACCTTTTCTTCCTATTTCTTTTTTTTTTGAGACAGGGTCTCACTATGTAGTTGAGACTGACCTGGAACTCACTATGTAGCTCAGGCTGGTCTGAACTCACAGTGATCCTCCTGCCTCAGTCTCCCTAGTGCTGGGATTACAGCCATGTGCCACCACACCCAGCTTTTTTCTTCCTATTTCACAATATCTATTATGCATTTTGGTCCTCATTTACACTTTCAGTTTCCCACACTGGAGAAACAACTTAGTATTTACACATGTATGTCCTATTTATTTCACTTCAGAGTATGGCCTTGAGGTGCATCCATTTAGCTATAAATGTCTCTAGTTTTTCTTCCTTTATGACTGAATAGTACTCCATTTTATAAAAAAAACAAAAACATCTTCTTTATCCAATCACCAGTTGATGGGCATTTGGGCTGCTTCCAAGATTTAACTATTACAAACTCTGCTACTATAAACATGGGTGAGCATATATCGCTGTGATATGATCCTTTTAAGTCTTTCGGAAACATACCCAGTAGGGAAATAGCTAGGTCTAATGGGACCTCTAATCCTAATTTTTTGAGGAATCTCCACATTCATTTCTACAGTGGTTGCACCAACAGTGGAGAAGGTTTGCCTGAATATTTTAAAGTCTCTGCTTCTCTACTGGTAACACATTTGAAAGTATATTTCCTTATAGATTTGTCACTATAGCCTTTGAATTTCTTGGTACCTACAGGGTCTAAATCTTCATTTAGGTCTCAAACAGGACTTGAAGAAGAAATCTGAAGCTAAAAGACAAAACAGTAGAAACGTGAGATGGGAAAAAAAGAAAATGGACTCAAGAGGTCAGAGGACTTCCATAGTTAATTATTACTTAACCACCCGACAGGAGCCTGTCTTCTCTCTTACTGGCTCGCAAGTGTCATGCAGTGCCACTGCCCCTGCTCTCCATGCTTTGGTCACCCTGGCACCCATCCACGCCCTAAGGCACTCTGAAGCCTCACTCTTTGGAATCAGCAGTGCGTTCTGCCTTACAAGTCCTTTCTTTTCCTCCAGCCTACTTTTGGCTGCAGCTTGGAGGCCACTTCTTGCATGTTTATTTGTTTAATGTCTGTATTTTATATGAGGTGTGTGACAGCTAGAACTCTCTCTTGTTTACCTCTCTCTCCCTGAGCCACACAGAGCCTGCCTTATATTAAGCATTCAATAAATATTGGGCAAATTCATCACATAAGCAATCAACAGATGAGTTATCTTTCTAAAAGTATCTTACCTGAGACTTCTACATAATAATAAAGTAAAATTTGCACCTTTGTGGTCATAAATACCAAACCAATTAAAAGCATAAGCAAGTATAAAGATAGAAGAGACAGGTGGCCACCTGCAGCAAGGGGGCAGGAAGTGGCATAGTTCAGTGATAGTGAGCTTGGTTCTTTATGAATTTCTGACAGACGGTGCTTCTGATAAGGTGAAGCTGGGCTGGCCTAAGACAGTCATTATGACAATCAAAAACTATGGGTCAAAGACTGTTTGACCAGTGAATCCTTTCTACTTATGATCTACCAATCTGTCTCAGAGTCTGCCTGCTCACTGTGGACAGGGTCCTTCATCTCATTCCATGGGAAAAGGCAATCAAGTTCATGTTAAATGAGTGACGTATAGAGACTCCAAAAAAGTTCTTAAGAGATTTAACAAAAACCAGGAACAATTTCTCTCCAACACTTCTAAATATAAGAGACACTGCTAATGAAACTTGCTAGGCAAACAGCATCAGGAAAATACTTAATGGATGATAAGAAGTTCAGCAAACAGTTCCATGAATATAGAGAATCTCATTCACTTTTTTATTATTGATATTTTTGCAGTGCTGGCCATTGAACCCAGGGGCCTCCTTCATACCAGGCAAATGCTCTAACACGGAGCTACACCTGCAGCCCCATATATGTGCTGCTTGTCAACTGGGTGACACCATTTCATTAATATACAATACTTCAGTAAAAAGCCTTCTCTCCCCCTGCTTCTCTGGGAGAAAGGGTGTCCCTGAAAAAATCGCAAAAACACAAACCTTCCAGGCCAGTGAAGGAGAGAAAGGGCAAAACAACTACATTCAGTCAATTACTTAAGCCCTGCTATTTATTAAAGCACTGAGTGGGAAAGCATTTGACTTTCCCAACCTGAATTGCATGCATTAAATTATTAATGAGTCTTACTTTCAGAGTCAATAAATATTTTTTTAAAAAGAGAGAGAGATGAGAAGCAGCAAGAGGAGAAACCTAGGAAGAAAAGCCAGGCTCAACAAGAGGACAGTAACTGAGGGGAAAACAGTGTTGCACCCAAAGGGAAAGGCAAACCCCAAGTTAGCCCAAGTTTATTTCAGTTAAAAGGTACTTCATCAACTTCTATTGGTACAGGTGTTCTCAGAGGAATGGGACTCTGTTACAGTCCCAGTCTTGTCTTTTCATCCAGGCAGAAAGGACAGTAAGTCTGCTCTCAGTGACAAGAATCTTTCAGCTGAAAAAAGTGTGAACTAGATAGCCCGAAACATCTCCTCTTAGCGAATCACATGGTGCCAGGTCAGAGAGGGGCTCAATGAACTTAATTTGTAGAATCGGCCCAGCTTGCAGAGGGAGCTGAAGTTCCAAGCCACTGAATTAAAGTGAGATTGTTACAGAACTGCAGGCAATTCAAGTTCCACTCCTACATGAGAGTTCTAGTCAGCCCTCAGATTAGCACACTGTCTACCTGCAAATTCAACTTAGCCAGCATTTATGGAATTCCTTCTGCGTCAGACGCTGCTGACATTACAAACGCAGCTGGAGGACTGAGTAAGACAGCATCTGCCTTTTTAAAATCCAAGCAGAGCAGTTTTAAACACAACAATCTAAAGTCAAATCCCAGCTCCCTGGTCTGCTAACTATATCTTAGAAAATAGTCCTAATGTGTGAAAAGGATGTCATGGTCCTTACTCAGCAATGGTAAAGTTTCCAAAATGATATGTTTTCTGATTTTTCTCTATCAGCACCAGGCCCACCACTGTCCTCTGTCCCTGCCTCAGAGTCTCCATCTTTGCTTCCAGAAGAAGCATGCACACAAGACTGAATGGGTAAGGATTTGGAACTGTGGAGGAAAGAAACTGTAAAGATTTTCAGAGTATGTGTGGCTCCAGAAGCCAAAGAATGTGAAAAGGGAAAATGGGAGAAAGGGGAGAGAAGAGAAGGTACCAAAAACAAAGCTCCTATTTTGGTATACCACCTAGTGTCCACCCTGACCCAGAAAGGGAAGGGGAGCTCTCCCTCTCCCCCTCAAACTGCACATTGGCTCCACACTCCTGCACTACCTGGGCATTGTTCTTTGTCAATCAGCTAGGACTTATTACCTTAGAGTTAAGATTTACCACTTGAGAGAAGAGAAGGAAGAGGGAAGGTGAAATCTGAGCTTAAGCCAAATCCTGGCTCTTCAACTCAATGGTAATGTTCCAATTTTAGTATATGTGCTGCCAAAGTGAGCACTCAACTCAATGTCAAAACAGAGGTTATGTTTCCTCATCTATAAACTGAAGATAACTACATCCCTTCATGGGGTACTACGGAGTTCAAGTGTAATTATATGACACCTGATACCAAGATGCTAGTACCCCTAAAATATATGTCAGGGCTCACCTGGGAATCTAAAAATAAATACTATTGGTTCTAAGGAAAACTTGTTTCCAGGCTTCAAATAAACCAAATCATAATCTTCTAAACATAACCACTGTTAGGATTTGTGTGTTTTTACATGTTAGATGCCAGTGAAAGAGACACACCTTTATTTCAAAACAGAAGAAATTAATTTCAAAACTGATGCTTTCTTTACCACACCTCGCATGTTGGCAGAACAGCGAACCAGGGGCACACCTTACAGGATTAAATCAAACGTCATGAAAAGTAGGAAGACACATATTTCACAGTGGGCTGAATTGGCTTCCAAGCTTCACGGTGTAGCCGGCTGCCCAGAAGACTTGATAGGGGCCTGCCAAACATGGGTGGGGAGCGAGAGACAGAAATCGGGGCTGCCACGGTTCATTGTCATTTACTGAGCTCTTTTGCCTCATTTGTTCATGCCATTTGAAAGTGCCCAGTTTCCCAATGGAATAGTGATTGGCAGCTCCTTAAACTGAATATAATAGAGATTCATGCTTTAAAAGACATGACTTAAAAGTTAAATTTCCTTCATTTATTTTAACAACCGTAGCATCTTCTCCCACCCACAGATCCCCCTGCATACTCATATCAACAAACGACCCCCTTAGAGCACCTCCTTCTGAAAACTGTTTCCGTCTCGTTATTTCATGCTTGGATGTGTCTTAAAGACACACTGGTGTAAACACCATATTCTAATTTCCAATATCCTCTTCCGGTGTCTGAGCAGGAAGCTATTTCCGGAGTGTGGAGAACATGTCATTCAGCGTTCTTCATAGGAACTAATCCTAGTGGACCCTCGTGGAAAGTTGTTTCTCTTGTGGTGAAGCGAATGGAGTTGAGTTTTCTCACCCCCAACCCAGGCTCCCAATAAGAACCTCTCTGTAAGTGGGGCCTGTGGTGAGCCCTGAGTGTGAAGCTAATTAAGCCTTCTTCGGAGAACTGGAGTGGGCTATTTGCAAATGCAGGCCTGGGGCTGACAGATGAGGATTCCACAGGGTGTCCTGCAATGCAAACGTTTGCATAAACACAGGCAAACTGAAGCTGTTTAAATGCAACATGCGTGTGTGTACCAACTCCCCACGATGAATGTCATCATGTGCCACAGACATGTGCTAATAAAGAAATTATTTTTTTAGGGCCAGAGATTTAGCCCAGTGGTTCCACCACCTGCCTCACAAGTGCAAAGACCAGAGTTCGATCCCAGGTACCAAAAAAAAATCTTTTTAAATGGAAAGAAAAAATAAGAGCTGCAGAGGAAATTTGTCAAAGTTTTGTCCCTGGACTTCACTGCTTTTCGTAGTTCTTTCAAGGCACACCATTTCACCCTAGTATCATGAACATGTGCACAGTCCTTGGCAATTTCACGATTTCAAAACTCTTACACAAGAAAAATGTAAATCGGTCTACTCATTTCACAAAGAGGATCTTGCAAGTTGTTTTCATTCCTAGTTCCTTATATGACATTCCCACACAACCCAGATGCATTTCTCTCAAAACAACATGCACTCTTTATGGAGGGGGAAAAAGATCTCAAAATAAAGCAGGACCCCAGTTAAGGGGCTACGTTCCCAGTTGCTGATTAAAAATCTAAAATAAATAACACAGGTCTGTACGGAGCGGACAGGGAAACATAACGCCCAGCTCGCATCTGCGGGGTTGCAGCGGCAATCCGAGGGGATCCGCGGACCCAGGTGCGCCCTCACCTCCCGG